TGATATATAGGCCTATATATATATATATATATATATATATATATATATTTAAATACATCCTCTGCTCAGTACCAGTAACAGGGTTGATACTGGTATTTATTCTCTTGTCTCTGTTTACAGATGGCAAAAGCAGATCAACGCTTTGGGCAAAGAGATGGATCTGATCAGAACTTTGATTACATGTTCAAACTCCTGATTATTGGCAACAGCAGTGTAGGAAAGACCAGCTTTTTATTCAGATATGCAGATGACTCTTTTAGCAACTCTTTCGTCAGCACGGTCGGCATCGACTTTAAGGTGAAGACGGTTTACAGGAACGACAAGAGAGTGAAGCTCCAGATATGGGTGAGTGCTGGAGCAGGCATATTGGTGTAATTAAATGCATAATAATGTCATATGTGAATGAAAATGAGGTTATTTTTAGCCCCAGATTGTTTGTTGTTCTAATGTGATTGGCTGGCATCATTAAACTCGAACCGCATCCGGCTGTATTATGTAAAGTGCGCATCCTCTACATTCCGCAATCACCTTCCACCAGGCTGTGAATGAGAGCCATCTTTTTCTGGAGGAAAAGAAAGCAAGCGCCTTCTTTTTTTTTCCCCCACATGCATCATCGATGCTGGTTGTCATGGAAGCAGCACTCCATACTGCTCCCTGGCAGAGAGAGATCCTCATAGCCAATTAAAGCGGCCCCTGAGGGTAAGAAGGGGTGGGAAGAGAGTTTGAAAGCACATGAAAGCACTGGGTGACAAGTATGACACAGCCACAGTTTGTGATAATGCATAATCTGGGTGTATTGATCGTGAGGTGTTAAAAATAGGCTCTCATTCAAAACAGCTGCAGGGAAACTGGCGCCAAGTGGAACAAAACAAAATGAGCTTAAATAAAGATGGGCCTAAAATAGAGAAATTACAACGTTTCACCAAACCATTCATTTAGTTTGTCCTCCTCATGTTTGGTTATCAGTTGCATTCATGGAGCATTGAAGGTCATGATATTACACTGTTATAAATAACAATGCCACCAAGGTGTGAATTGCATCTTTGATTTTCCGGGAATGGAAAAGTCATGAGATTAAAATAAATAAAATGTATAATTTGATTTTAAAAAAAATGAATTAAAATGAATGTATCTGTGATAAGTATATATTAGTTATTTTTTAAGTTTTTGATAAGTAAAAAAAAATATTTTTACATTTTTAATTAATTAATAAAAAGTATATCAAATGTAGAAAAGTATTTTTGTAGTTTAATGGATTACAATGAATAAAATTAATAAATATGGAAAAACAGAGAAATTATAACTTCGGAATTAACTATTTTTTTCCAGCTGATAGATGATTAAAACATTGACAGCCAATCAGAATTCACCTGACTTTAAAGAGCTTGGGCAATAAATGTGCTAGACAATAAATCTGCAGCGCACAATAATAATAAACGGAATGTTATTGACTGTAGATGTGGGTGCTAATATTATTGTTATTGTTATCTTTACAGTTCTCGTTCTTTGTGTGAATGGCCTTAAAGGAATAGTTCACTCAAAAATTGAAATGACCCCATGATTTACTCACCCTCAAGCTATCCTAGGTGTATATGACTTTCTTCTTTTGGACGAATACAATCGGAGTTCCATTAAAAAATGTCCTGGCTCTTCCAAGCTTTATAATGGCAGTGAATTGGTGCTGAGATTTTGAAGTCTCAAAATCAGGTATAAACTGTAATCTCTAGCTTCCGCTAACTGTCGTACTCATGTTCATGAAAGAACGGCGTTCCAGCGGATGGCGTAGCGTAGCATAAGCTCTGGTGAGAAGCGACAAACGCGGAAGCACGGAGGAGAGAGCAAAACAAAGCACTGATCACAAATTAGAAGTACAAAATGAGGATTTGAAAAGAAAATGTTGGAGGATTTTGATGTAAGATTAGAGGAGACTGATTTTCCTTTGCTGTAAACAAAACTTGGTTCTCGCGAGACTAGCATATTCTCACCAGAGCTTACGCTACACCAAACGCCACTCTCTCATGAAAGACAGTTAGTGAAAGCTAGCAATTACGGTTTAAAAAGTTTTAAATATGGATATTTTTCTTACACAAATGCATAACTTCACTTTAGGAGTCCTTTATTAACCCCCCGGAGCCATGTGGAGACTTTTTATGATGGATGGATGCACTTTTTTGGGCTTCAAAATCTTAACCCCCCCATTCACTGCCATTAAAAAGCTTGGAAGAGCCAGGACATTTTTTATATAACTCTGGTTGTATCCATCTGAAAGAAGAGAGTCATGAACAGCTAGGATGGCTTGAGGGTGAGTAAATCATGGTCATTTTCATTTCTGGCTGAACTATCCCCTTAAAGGAACACTCCACTATTTTTGAAAATAGGCTCATTTTCCAACTCCCCTAGAGTTAAACAGTTGAGTTTTACCGTTTTCGAATCCATTCAGCCGATTTTATGTGTTTTTCCTCCAAAGCATAGGATGATATTCCTTATCAATGAATCCATGATTTTCTGTGTTGTCTATAGGATACAGCAGGACAGGAACGGTATAGAACTATTACTACAGCTTACTATAGAGGAGCCATGGGCTTCATCCTCATGTACGACATCTCAAATGAAGAGTCCTTCAATGCAGTGCAGGACTGGTGAGCAGCTTTAATCCGGAATCCATAGGGTTTATCCACTGAAGTTATGTGCCATAAATGCGCTTTTGCTTTCAGGGCAACACAGATTAAGACCTATTCATGGGATAACGCTCAGGTGATATTAGTGGGGAACAAATGTGACATGGATGAAGAGAGGGTGGTGCCTTTTGAGAAGGGCAAACACTTGGCCGACCAGTTAGGTAAGTTATATGTCCAGCCTTTATCTGATTCATTGGTTTTTGATCTGATTTCTTCGGATTCGTTCTCACAGGGTTTGAGTACTTCGAAGCCAGCGCCAAGGAGAACATCAACGTCAGACAAGTATTTGAGCGCTTAGTTGACATTATCTGCGTGAAGATGTCCGAGAGAGTCGATACGGATCCATCCATGGTCACCGGTGCCAAAACCACCCGGCTAACCGATAAGCCGCCCCAGCTACCTCAGAATTGTTGCTGATTTCCATCTCAATTCATATGCCAACTTATCAGCAGCGGATCCGATGTTGTTTGATGTTCTGTTATATGGCGATTGGAACCAATCTGGGGTGCGTTTCATAGTATGATGCATCGTTAGAAAAACGTAACTAGCCAGTGACGAAATCATAGTAACGTGGTCGCACCTTCATCATTTTAACAATATAAAATTGTCGTTAATGACGCACCCAGGTAGTGGAGTAAAAAATTTTAAAATCACGTTTACACACTATTTAATTGGCGTAAAATGTACTTCTCCACAACGTAATTTTTCTACAAACGTAGCATCTGAGGATTACTTAACTATTTTGTTCCCCTCGTTTTTCTTTATTTGATGTACGATTCATCGCGTGTTTACTTTTGCAGCACACTCCAGGGTTCTCGTGTGCATTTACGTACATGCGCACTCTTCGAAAATGCATACAAAATAATGTATGTACATTAAGACAACATGCTAACAAGAATCTATGCTTCTAACCACAGGAAGAGAGAGCTGTAGCTCCAACCACACAAGTTTTCGATGCTGTTTGCGAATATTCGTTGGAACTATGGTTTCGGGAAACACCGAATCATTGAATTACGTTGATAACGACTGAACTTGCGACCATAGTTGGCTAACAATGCTTCGGGAAACGCACCCTTGTTCGTTTGTAGCTGTCAAACATGTGAAGTAGTTCAGTAATAATAGTACACTTCTAACTTAATCAGTCCATAGGAAACTCAAAGCAGGGACTAGAGCAAAGCACAAAAACTACTACTTGGCTCTCAGAACTTGTGTTCACTGCCGAAACTAGATTTAAAACACAATCTGTTGTGGCACAATCTTGCTAATCTTATGAATTATATATTGAGTGTAGTATATGAGTACTTTTAAGGGATAGTTCACCCAAAAGTAAAAATTCTGTCATCATTTACCTCATCCTCAAGTTGTACCAAACCTGAATGATTTTCTTTCTCCTGTTAAACACAAAAGAGGATATTTTGGAGAATGTTGTTAACCAAACAGTTGACGGTAGCCATTGAATTTTATAGTATGGGGAAAAAAAATACTATGCAAGTGAATGGCTACCAGCAGCTGTTTGGATCATACAGATTTGGAACAACATGTGGATGAGTAAATGAGTGAACTATCCCATTAGTGAAGGTAAAATGGTGGATATTTTGTTAAAAGGCACAAAGATAAACTCAGACTTTTGCAAAATGGCCATTATGCAGTTTTCAGGGTGGTGTCGATGCTCTGATTTGATTGGATCAGAAGCAGATGCACATTGTATGTTGGACTCCATCTCTTAACTGCTGGCACAGTATGTGTTTTGAGAATATGAGCACTTGCTTAAGCGATCTTTATGTTAAGAGAGAAAAAATGTGACGTTTAGTAAATTCATGATTAAGTACGCTAAATAAAATTCATGTCTTACACAAAAATATAATATTGAATTCATGTTAAACTTAGTAGCCTATTGTCAGAAACCACATGTAACAGTTGTGTGTAATAATAGACCGAACACAATCAGCACATTTCATAGTCAGGTGACGTTCGAAAGATATTATTCTTCGCTCAAATCCTCAAGCGGAACGTCAAGATATATTGTGAACTCGTGCCAGGATGTCTTCATATTTCAGAAACTTGTAGCAAATCCTTGTGGGTTCGTGTATGTATAATCTACTTTGGATTTTTATCAAGTGACGTATGAGTGTTTTATGTAACTATAGTCGAAATTATTTTAAATGAGGTATTTTTAATTCCGATGTTATAGGCTACTTTTTGTTTTCCTGAGTAGATATTTATTTTTATGCTGCTGGAATATATAGGCTAGTTGTACCTTTGCTGTCAGTGTATTTTGATTTGTAGACAATTTGCACTAGGGCATACAGTGATTGTACAGTTGTGAATGTTACTTTTAGATGCAATTTGTAACAATAAAAGCACAAATCACATGTAATAATGCTAATATTTACATGCCACGTCTGTCATTGTATGTATGCTTTGCTGATGGGCAGTCGCCTATAATAAGGATATATACTAACCTATATTTGTGACCCTGCACCACAAAACCAGTCATATGGGTCAATTTTTTGAAATTGAGATTTATGCATCATCTGAATAAATAAGCTTTCCATTAGTGTATGGTTTGTTAGGACAGGACAATATTTGGCCGAGATACAACTATTTGAAAATCTGGAATCTGAGGGTGCAAAAAAATCAAAATATTGAGAAAATCGCCTTTAAAGTTGTCCAAATTAAGTCCTTAGCAACGCATATTACTAATCCAAAATTTAATTTTGATATGTTTACAGTAGGAAATTTACAAAATATCTTCATGGAACATGATCTTTACTTAATATCCTAATTATTAAAAGAAAAATTTATAATTTTGACCCATACAATGTATTGCTGGCTATTGCTACAAATATACCTGTGCTACTTATGACTGGTTTTGTGCTCCAGGGTCACATATACAGTATACTATATGAAATGAAAACTTTCAAAACTCAAAATTCACCAAAATAAAGAGCTTTAATTACAGTAGCCTATTCTTATTCTTCGTTTAAAAAAAAATCAGATTCTTACTTGTATATTTGCACGTGAAGTAAATATTATCTCATTTATATCACCAAAATTCACCAAAATAAAGAGCTTTAATTAGGCTACAGTATTCTTATTCTTCATTAAAAAAAATCAAAATCTTACTTCATGGTCTTGCAGCATATTAGTATTTTTTTAATTACCCTTTGTTTTTAGATTTTCACTTTTAATTTTAGTTTAAGTTGAATTAATATTTGTACATGCTTTTTTCTTTTTTATTAGCTTTTTAAAAATATTTCTATATAGCTTTATTGTTATTTCAGTTTATTGATTTTAGGCTAATAGGCCTACCTCATATTAAGGTTTTTAATTTTAATAGGCCTACCTCAACTTAAAGCAGCACTATGTAACTTTTTCTTTGTTCAAAATTTGCAAAATGTATATAATGAGCGAGTACATCATCTTCATCTTCCAAACCGCGTTTTTGTCTTATTCCGAATCACTACGGTACACTTATAATAAGTACTTATATTTGGACTATTGTAGCCTGGTCGGGTCGTCACCGCTGCGGAGTAACACATACCTGCGTGAATCGCCATAGACATAAACTTAGAGAAGTAGCTCCGGTTGGAATGTTCTTTCGCGGGATGTGTGCAGTTCTGTTTATTAACCGCTAGAGCGCCAAAAGTTACATAGTGCTGCTTTAAGGTTTTTACTTATTTTAATTACTTCAGCTTAATTCGTTTTTCATGTAATATTTATATATATATATTTGTGTTATTTTAGGTTTATTTCAATTACCGAAAACAATTTCTAATACTGTAGGTTTTGTTTTAGTTTAACAACACGTCTGAAGGATTATATGAGAACCAGATAAACCTGTTCCTAAATTCAACGCTTATCTTTCATTTGTGGCAGCGCCGAATGGCTCGACCAATCAGATTAGTTCTTGTTTTTTTATGCCATGGTTTATCAGCCAATGAGATTTCAGTGTATTAGGTGTGCGCATCAAGAGCGTCGGTGTAACATCCGTAATCCCAACACCAACAGAAATATTGGTATGTACTTACGGTAATTGTCTTGATTACTTAATCGTTTGATTATCAAAACGCTTTTTACTGTTGTCTTGTTGCAGTTCCTGATAGAGATTAGTAGCTACTGGAGTTTTAATACACCAAAGGAAGTTACCTTAAATGTATTGGTGACAGGTGTCAGTCACGTTAAATCTACTGTACCTCTGTGTTTGGACACTGTCTAATAGGTTTGGGTTGTTATACGCAGAGTGTTTGAGTCAAAATGCCCCAGACGAATAAGGCCAGAACTTCCGGTGGATCTGCCGGTGAAGTGTCCGGTCCAGAGTGCGGAGAGCCTCCACCGGCTCGAGCCGGAGAAGCGGATCAGAGTGACCCTGTAATAGTCAAATCACCAAGCGACCCCAAAAAATACAGGTAACCTGAGACATGTTATGGTTTGTAATAATAACAACAACAACAAAAATAATTATAATGTATACATTTTATAATATATTTTTGGTAAATGGATTTAATAATATTATAATAGAAATTAATAGTAACGCTTATCATATTAATGTTATATATTACTTGATATTAATAATTGAGAATATTAAATTTATTATTATTTTTAACGTATTATCATTATCATTATTACAGTAAGTAATGTAAGTATTACATCTAAATATTAAAGTCATATTGTATGAACTATATTTTGGAAAGTAAATAATTATTTTGAGATTCGTTTTTATCTTGTTTATATCGAATAATATTATCTAATGTATAATTGAAATTAAAATGCTAAATATTAGAATATAAATATGAATAAATAATAATTTCAATCATTTGATAAAGTAAATTAGTATTTTGTTTTTATTTAGTTTATATTTAGTTATATTATCAAATGTAGATGTAAAAATAGAATTACAAAATTGTTATTAATAATATAAAATATTTTAATATGTACTGTAAAGTAAGTTATTTATTTTATTTGTTTTTAATTATATTATCAGATGTATTTTATAAAATAAATGTATACATTTTAATAAAAATTTTAATGTTTTTATTTTGGTAATTTATATTTAAGTTTCATGTATTTTATTTATATTTATTATATGAATCAAATATATATTTAATAACAAAATTAAAATAAATGTTTTAATGTTAAAATAAATTGTTGTAATTTTTATTATTATTATTATTATTAAATGCCTATTTTAATGTATTTTATTAGTATTATTTTTTGTTTTTAAATTATTTTAATTATATTATCAAATGTATATTTGAAAATAAAATCATACATTTATTTAAATGTATTTATTAATTAAACCGTTGTTTATTTTTATTATTATTATTTAATAATAACAATAATAATAATAATGATACATATTTATTTTTTGATGCTATTTATTTTCTGAAAATAAATAATTCCACCTGTTTCAGGTACATAGAGCTGAGCAATGGACTCAAAGCACTGCTCATATCAGACCTCACCCAGTCAGAGAGTAACAGAGAGCCAGTTGCCAAAGAGGAGGAAGACTCCGGTGAGGAAGAGGATGGTGACAGTGAGAGCACTAATGAAGACAGCAACTGTGTGAATAAATGCAGTGAAGGGGTGAAGAAGAATTGCCGTTCAGAGAAACAGGTGACTGTCAGTTCTTTACAGTTATCTTAATTTTTGTAGATATATCATATAAAATGTCTTATATCATATCTCAGTCCGCAGCTGCGCTCTGTATCAGCGTGGGAAGCTTCAGTGACCCTGCCGATCTACCTGGTCTCGCCCATTTCCTCGAGCACAGTGCGTTCCTTGATGTTCATTTCATTCTTACCTTTTTATTTTCTTTTTATTCACATGAACATTTTTTCTCTTTGTCCCAGTGGTCTTTATGGGCAGCGAGAAGTACCCGGCCGAAAATGGCTTCGATGCTTTCCTGAAAAAACATGGAGGAAGTGACAACGCTTCCACAGACTGTGAGCGGACCATCTTCAAGTTTGATGTTCAAAGAAAGTACCTCAGAGAAGCACTGGATCGGTGAGCAAAAATACTCGGTAATCAAACACGTTTTTTATTTTAGGGTGAACTGTGCCTTTAATAATCAGCATTTGCTGTGTTTGTCCACAGGTGGGTGCAGTTTTTCATTGGTCCCCTGATGATTCCTGATGCAGTTGACAGGGAGGTGGAGGCCGTAGACAGCGGTCAGTAAACTGCTGGAAATGTACTCACCCTCAGGCCATCCAAAATGTAAAAGAGTTTATTTCTTCATCTGAACAAATTTGGAGAAATTTAGCATTATTGTGACGTTTTTATCAGCTGTTTGGACTCTCATTCTGACGGCACCCATTCACTGCAATTGGTGAGCAAGATGTAATGCTAATTTTCTCCAAATCTGTTCGGATGAGGAAACAAACTCATCTACATCTTGGATGGCCTGAGCGTGAGTACATTTGAATTTCTGGGTGAACTATTTTTTTAAATAATGAAATGTAATTTAGCTAAATTGTCTAAACCTGTTAACAGAGTACCAGATGGCCCAGCCATTAGACTCTAATCGCAAAGAGATGCTGTTTGGAGGTCTAGCAAAAGCTGGTCACCCGATGAGCAAGTTCTTCTGGGGTCAGTGCGTGCTACTCACACATACATAACGTCCGGAGATGTCAGACATGAGAATGATTGTTATGATGTTTGTTTTTCTCTGTGTGTTTCATCAGGAAATGCTCAGACACTGAAAAACGAACCCAGAGAGAAGAATATCGACACTTATGAGCGTCTGAGAGAGTTCTGGAGGAGGTATTACTCTGCTCATTATATGACGCTCGCAGTGCAGTCCAAAGGTAATGAGAATAAAGGATTTATCTGAGAATTCATGTACAGTACGAATCTCAGATTTACGTTTGAGCGTCTAATTTTGGACACTATATCCTGATAGAGACACTTGATAACCTGGAAGAATGGGTGCGAGCGATCTGCATTAAGATCCCAAACAAGTACGTATGTTAAACAGTCATATTTCTTCTTATTTCTATATTGACCAGGGTTTATTTTCATGTCATTTCTTTTCGGTTCTTTTCACAGTGGCCAGCCACGGGCAGATTTTTCAGACCTTCAGGATCCATTTGATACTCCAGATTTCAACAAGCTTTACAGAGGTAGCATTGGATTTTCTGTTTTATAGATTAGGTCAGTTTAAAAGCCTTTTTGATCTTTCATTTAATGTAAATGATCATTTTCATTTTTTAAATTTAATATTTAATGCATAATATATAAACTAATATTTAAATAACATTATAAAAATATAATAAAATCTAATCAAGTTATGTATATATAATATTTAATTTAGGGGTTTTTATATTTAATTTCGTTTTTTTATTTAATTTAATTATTTACTTAATTATTCATATAAATCTATACTGACATTTCATAAAATAATAATAATAATACTTAATAAAATATATTTATTGTTTATTTTATTTATATTTACTCTCACATGTATATTTGAAAATAAAAGTATACAATTTGTAAATTGTCGTTGTTTATAATAATGATAATAATAAAAACATATTGTAATACATTTTATAAAACAAATTTTTATTGTTTTTATTTATTTTTTTGTTTTATTCATATTTAATCATCAAATGTATGTTTGAAAATAAAATGTACTTTTGTAACATATAACAAATTGTTGTTATTTTTTATTTTTTTAATTGTTATACAATTTGTAAATTGTCGTTGTTTATAATAATGATAATAATAAAAACATATTGTAATACATTTTATAAAACAAATTTTTATTGTTTTTATTTATTTTTTTGTTTTATTAATATTTAATCATCAAATGTATGTTTGAAAATAAAATGTACTTTTGTAACATATAACAAATTGTTGTTATTTTTTATTTTTTTAATTGTAATGATAATACAAAGTAAAGCAATATTAATCTTTTTTTTTAATATTTACAATTAAATAATAATAAATAATTTTAATTTAATTTATGTGCAACTTAATAATAAATATTTGTTTTTTATATTTTATTTCTTTTAATTAAATGTAAATATTAAAATTAAACCAAAATAATTCATTTATTTCATCACTTACATATCCGCATTGAACAATTGAACATCATACTGATTTCATTCTAAATGTCTTTATTTAAATGATTCAGTGCCTCTCAAATCTCAGTCTACTCATGTGTTTTATGAATTTAAATGGGTGTTTGGAAGCTTAACTTCATGTGGCATTTACAGTGGTGCCTGTGCGAAAGATTCATGCGCTGACCATCAGCTGGGCTCTTCCACCTCAGGACAAACATTACAGGTCAGTAACACATCCGGACAGCTGTCAAAATCGTCTTACCCTGCCGCGGCCAAGATGCTTCAAAGCCAGGACAGCACGGTGTAATAGTACAAGTTTGCATTGTGCTAATGGCATTAAAGTATGACTGTTTGTTTGTACGGTGGGTCGTAGAGTGAAACCCCTGCATTACATTTCCTGGCTGATTGGTCATGAAGGAGCTGGAAGTGTACTGTCTTTACTCAGAAAGAAGTGAGTTTGGCTTTCTTTTCATATTTGAATAATTAAACTGGTCACTAATGAATCAGTTTGCAATGCATCAAATGAATCAATGCTCTGCATGTGAAGGTGCTGGGCTCTGGCTCTGTTTGGAGGAAACAGTGAGTCGGGTTTCGATCAGAACACCACCTACTCCATCTTCAGCGTTTCAATCACCTTGAGTGACGAGGGCTTCCAGAACTTCTTCCAGGTCTGAAAAACCCATCATGTTCGCTCACTTACCATCCTTAGCTGTTTTTATGTGGTTTGAATACTTTTATTCTTCTTTAAACATTAATGATGCGATGTTTTATTGTGGTTGTAGGTCATTCATATAGTATTCCAGTATCTGAAGATGCTTCAGTCCGTCGGACCTCAACAGAGGTGGGAATCAGAAGATTGAAACCTTGCTTTTTTTAAACATTAGAAACCTACAGCTTGATGCTGGAGGACAACGATTAGAGTTTATCTATATATTTTAAAGAACATTATACAGTGGTAAAAAAAATGGTTCTCAAGAAGAAAATAACCTCTGAAGATAATAAAACATTTTTATGTAACATAATTTGATTTAGATTTATAATAACATTAAACTATAATAATATATTGAATTGAATTGAATTATTAAAATTTAACAGAATTTAATTTATCACTTTATTGAATTTATGTGTCCTTAATCTCAAAGATTAAAAATCATCTAAAAAAAATGATAAAGAATGAAGAATCGGTATAGAGATGCACTGGCATTAAAATTTTGGCTGATGTAGATCTAGAGCTGATTTTATAGCCAATTTTAAAATTCTATATTATTAAAACACTAAAAACTAAATTTAGTCATTGTACTTAAATAATATACTTAATTAAATTAAACCTAAATTAATTTTAAATGCTACAAAAAATTAGGAAGGAAGGAATAGATAAATAATTTTAAAAAATGTAAATATTAAAATGATAGTTATTGAATCAATTAATTTTATGTGTGTTTGTGTTTTACTTAATTATTCATATAAGTAATCAATCTATACTGACATTTAACATGATAATAATAATAATACTTTATAAAATATATTATTGTTCATATGTACTTTATAAATGATTAATTATTAAAATTTATAGTAATTTACATTATTCTAAAAGGTATTAAAATATGTAAAACTATGAAAATGACAAATTATATTTTTATATTATATATATATATATAAATGGAAAATTGTATAAAGTAATCATTTATTTTTATTTTTTTTTATACTTACTCTCTTATGTATATTTGAAAATAAAAGTATAAAATGTGTAAATTGTTGTTTATAATAATAATAAAATATTGGAATAATATATATATAATAAAACAATATTGGAATACATTTTAGAAAGTAAATCTTTATTATGTTTATTTAGTTTATATTTGTTTTATTAATATTATCACATTAATTTCAAAATAAAATTTACATTTGTAACATTTATAACAAATTGTTATTTTTTAATTTTTTTAATAATGATAATACAAGGAAGATCAATATTAATCTTTTTAATATTTAAAATTAAATAATAATAATAATAATAATATTAAAAAATGAAACAGGATAGTTATTGAATCACTTAGGTTTCATTTTGTGTGCTCACAAAATATTGAACAACGCACTGATTTCATACCGATAATCAATTATTCATATTCATTACCTCTAAGTCTACTCGTGTCAGTGAGTTTATATGGCATTTGAAAACTTTCATAGCAAATATGCCATTTGCAGAAGCCAGAAACTAAGACACTGATCTGAAGAACCTATATTGTGTTACCTCCAAACAACTCAAGAGCCATATTCAGTGAAGAATGGTTCTCGAGAAGAAAAGAATCTCTCTCTTTTTAAATATCCTTGAATCCTGTTGGTTTTATTAAATACAAAAACAAAAAACTCAACACTCTCTTGGTTATGGCTTTTCTCAGGATCTATGAAGAAATCCAGAAGATTGAAGCCAATGAGTTTCACTATCAGGAGCAGGTGACGTGAAATCATCTCAAATCATTTACTGTGTAGACCAGATGCAGGACATCATCTCTCATATTTATATTTTTTATACCAGATGGAACCAATTGAGTTTGTGGCGAACATTTGTGAAAACATGCAACTTTTCCCAAAAGAGGACTTCCTGCGTGGAGACCAGCTGATGTTTGAATACAACCCAGAGGCATGTTATTATCTATTGCACTGAGCTTTCAATGCTAAACATTTTATGCTCGTAGTTCTGATGTTGAATCTGATATATCTGTGGTTGAAGGTCATCTCAGCTCCTTTGACACTCTTGACTCCAGCAACAGCCAATATATTACTGCTGTCACCCGAGCATGATGGGCGCTGTCCTCTAAACGAGAAGTGGTTTGGGACGCAGTACAGTGTTGAAGGTAATCCACCACCACAAAGGATCTGGGAAAAGTGTGGTTTTGTTTTTAGGGATCCACCGGTGTTAAAATGATGGCAGATACTGTTAGCTGATAACCAATATTAAATACATTTATTTAAATACATTTAAATAAAGAATTACACATTTGAACAAATTTATTTACATTAATCTAAAATTAATGTTTATTATAATTATTAAATTGATATTAAAATTCTATGCAGTTCTGGTTAAAATTTTAAAAAAAAGAATAATGTGATATTCTCAGAAAATAAAAATCATCTGTAATAATGCAGAATAAAAAAATAGGAATACAGAGATGCAAGATATTATAAGATCATTTCTCAACAAATTCAATGAATAATTCTGTGGCAAAGCCTTCTGGCCGAACCCTGCCACATATAGAAGCCCGGTAATTGCGACTTTTTAGCTCACACTTTCTTCTCAAAATTCTCAGAACAAATATGAATTCTGAGATACAAACTTAGAATTGCGAGATACCAACCCAGAATTCCAAGAAAAAAGTACACATTTCGAATTCTGGGAAAAAGTCTGAATTGTGAGCTAAAAAGTTGCAATGACCTTTTTAATTTTTTTTATTCCATGGCGGAAATATTACCACATAAATTGTCTTTTTTTCCCTCCCAGTCTGGTCCTGTTTGATCTCTTTGTGAATATTCTGGCTCATAATCTGGCGGAGCCGGCATACGATGCTGATGTTGCTCAACTGGAGTATATGTTATTTCCTGGAGACCACGGCTTGTTCATCAGACTCAAAGGATTCAATCACAAACTGCCTGTGAGTTGTATAGTGACTTTGATTCTTTTTGAATCTGCCTGGAACCAATCTGATTTGTTTGAACAAACCGATTCTGCCAGTAAAACGTCTATTTTTAATCCTTTAGTTGCTTCTGAACCTGATCGTAGACCACCTGGCCAACTTTAGCACCGCTCCAAATGTGTTCAGCATGTACATTGAGCAGCTGAAGAAAACCTACTACATCATCCTCATTAAGCCAGATCGACTTGGAAGGTGGGTAACCGCAGATTTCAGACCACTGTGATCTCCGTTCGCATTATTTGATGCAGATGAAGTCTGACTTCCTGTGTTTCAGAGATGTTCGACTGCAGATCCTGGAGCACCATCGCTGGTCTGTGATGCAGAAGTATGAAGCTATCATGGCCGACCTCGGTGTGACTGATCTCATGGACTTTGTGAATCGATTCAAGGCCGAGTTATTTGTGGAAGGACTCATACAAGGGAACTTCACAAGTGCTGTGAGTCTTATTGGTGAGTTATTTCATTTTAAACATGTATTTACACTGTAATTGTTCATTTTTGTACAATTTCTGCACAAACAGGAATCCAAGGAATTTCTACAGTATTTTATAGAGTAAGTTGACTGCTTCTTCTGTTTGTTAGATATAATAGAAGTATATTGTAAATGTTTTACGTTATATAATAATGTGTGTAATATCTAAAGCGTGTTATGTTATAAGGTTACTTCTATGGAAGTACAAGAAAATAAAATAATTAATTCAGTTTAGCTCTATATTTTTTATATTATTTAAAAATATTTATTATTTAAAAATAAATTGTTAATAATGTTGAGGTAGCGTGTTACATGTAACACATGTTACATTGCCAGGTTATTTTTGGAAATATTACAAAATAAAATAATTTTTTTATTTTTTAAGTTTACTTACAAAGATACTTAATTTTATAAAATTATTTTTTTGGTAATGTTGAGGTAGAGTGTTACATGTAATACATGTTACGTTATCAAGTTGCTTTTTGGAAGATAATAAAGTACATTTAATCGTAATAAAAAAAAATAAATCAAGTTCTACTTAGAAAAAGTTATACTTACTTTTTATTTATTTATTTATTCAATTTACTTACAAGAATGTTTACTTACAATAGTTCATTTTTTATATATTATAAAAAAAAATTCTTATTGTTGTGGTAATGTGCTACATGTAATGCGTGTTATGTTATCAAGTTACTTTTTCGAAGTAAAATAACTAAATAAAATCACTTCATTTAATTACAAAAAGTTCTACTTAGAAAAAGTTAAACTTACAAAAGTACATTTTTCATATTTTATTAACAAATTGTTAATGTTTAGGTAACATTTTACATTATCAGGTTACCTTTTTAGGGAAATATAACAAAATAAAACTTTTTATTTATTCAATTTACTTGCAAGAATGCATACTTACAATAGTTATATATTATAAAATTATTTTTTGTTATTGTTGAGGTAACGTGTTACATGTAATGCATGTTACGTTATCTTGTTACTTTTTCTTAGTAAAATAAAAGAAAATTACTTTTGATTTCACAAAAAGATAAAAAAAAGTTTATATTATTCATAAGAAAAAATATGAAGCTGAAAGAAAATACAAAATATTAATGATTTTTTCACAGCAGATTCACAACAGTCCGTTAATTTAATAAATGTAAACTGTGGAGTTTTTTTATTATTAAACATTTTTAAGAATCAGATTATGGGGTGATCTGCAAAAGTTTTCCTACTTTCAAAGGGGGCATCACCAAAAAAAATCTGAGAACTACTTGTTTAATTAAGAATTCATAGTGTAATATCTTTTTCAAATAAGTATGTTTTTTCTATTCATGTAATTTATTTACTGGCAAATACAACATCCTGGTGTTTTCCAGGAAACTTCAGTATAAAGCTCCTCCAGCTGAACCTCCTGTCCTGTTCCGAGTGGTGGAGTTGCCACAGACGCACCACTTATGTAAAGTCCAGTCGCTCAATAAAGCCGACGCTAACTCCGAAGTCACAGTATACTATCAGGTAATGGTCAGTTAGCAGTCCAAATGTCTCCTGTGCTGTATTCCAGATATTCTCAAACTGTTTAATAGCTCTGTGAAAAACAAAAACCTAAATTTTGCACTTAAAGTAGTTTTTGTTTCCAGACAGGGCTGAAGAACTTGCGGGAACATACACTGATGGAGCTGCTCGTGGTGAGTTTCATCGTTGAAAGTATCTGTATTGTCCTTCTTTCTTAAAGGGTTAGTTTACCCAAAAATGAAAATTAGTCCATGTTTTACTCACCCTCAAGGCATCCTAGGTGTATATGACTTTCATCTTTCAGACGAATACAGTCGGAGTTATATTAAAGGGGTGGTTGACGGGGTTTTTTTCTAGGCTTGATTGTGTTTATGGGATGCAGTCTAACATGTATTAATCCTTTGTTTAAAAAAAAAACCCGCAATATTTGTCACAATTTACCTTTATTCCACACCGCTCTGTCCCTTCTCTGAGAAACACGCTGATCATTTCCTTCTTTTATGAAGCCCCTCCCTCAGAAATAGGCGATGGGTCTGATTGGTTAGCTAGCCCAGTGTGATTGGCTAAACCACTTCTAGTACGCGTCTAAGCGTCCCGCCCCTCACCTCAGCGGCATGTGCTCCGGTTGTATTGTAAACAACGGCATCGTTAATATCGCTTATCAGTTTGAGCCCGATTGAGAAGCAGAGGATATTATTGAAGAGGATCGTGCAGAACCTGTGCAAGCACAGCTTTTAATGGTAGGCCTATGTTTTTTGTTTGTTGTTGTCTCATACTTTTAGATACGCTGTTATTTGTAAATGCTACTGCTTATGTTAGATTTTAATATAGGGTTTTATCTTGATTAAAGCTTTAATACAGTACGGCAACTGCACACACGTCCATGTTTAACGCTTCTCATAGCTATGTGAAAATAAGTGTATAATTGTAACAATTCATTGTTGGAGCTGAGCTGAAAGAGAGAGAGAGAGATGCAGAGCGTGTGCAGAGCAGGGGGACGCGAGGAACAGGATTGTGAACCGCTGCTTTAGAACATTGATTTTGAAACTTGTGAATCCATTAGAATCGTTAGAAGACAGAATCGTGATTCATATATGAACAGATTTTTACATGCACCTCTAGTTTTCTCTTCCTCTTCTCTAAAGCAGCACAACATGGCCTCGCCCCCTTTGCTGCCTTTTCCCGAGGGCGGGGGTTTATCTGGGTTTGTGATGTCACGAACCCAGGA